AACCAATTTTCACATAAACACCATTCCCTGCTGAAGACTTTAGTGTAGTGGTGGCGAACCTATGGCACGGGTGCCAGAGGCGGCACTCAGAGCCCTCTCTGTGGGCACATGTGCCGTTGCCCAGTCCTAGGCTTTCAGCTGGGTTTTATAAAACCTTTTCGCTTTAGGCCTCCTCCGCCGTGTGCAAAAAAAAAAGTTCAATCAGTCAATTTCAACTTCTCGCAGGAAAAAAAATATCTTCCAAAGTGGAATTGATTGATTGAACTTTTTAGTCCCACCCAGTTTGTCGTTACCACCGTAGCCATACCCACCCAATGGGCCACGCCCACCCAATGGGCCACACCCACCCAGCACTCGACAATGCATAAATGGGTTTTGGGTTGCAGTTTGGGCACTCAGTCTCTAAAAGGTTCGCCATCACTGCTTTAGTGCATAGGATAGGAAACAGTGCATAGAATAAAACACACAGAATTGTGACACTTCAAGCAACTAAGAACCTTGATAACACAACATACATGAACTCTGAATGGCTATAGTGAAAATAGGGTATTGGGAAGAAGAACATTTCTCAAAAGAAGAGTCTTAAAGTAAGCTAATACAGAAGGAGCTCCTTAATGGAAAGCAAATATTGGTAGCCAAGAATTGTACTCTTATGATTGCCATGTTTATAATAATTAAAGGAATTATTTCTGTTAAACCCAGTTTTATTTTGGTAGTAAACTTCAAGGACGTAACAAGGACATGACAAGAAACATTTTCGTACTTAGAGCCAATTGTTCAGATTTATTAGCTATGTATTCACCAGGAATTTTTTTAAAAGTGAACTATATTTTTTCAAGTTTACCATATGCAGACCTTAAATGATATTAAATTTGGCTTCATGAAATAATTAATTTTAATCCAAAGTCTTTGTATTTATCCCATCCTGAAAGACTGCATATAGAAGCTTTTCTATCAAAATGAAAAGAAATGACCCCGTCCAGCATGAATGAAAAGCAATCAAAAGACCAAGTTTACATTGCAAGGCAGAATTGTCCTTGTGGACGTTCCCATATAAAAGA